AAACAAGATCTGTAAAACATGTGTACATGTAAATTCAAGTACGGGAAAAAGAGTAAAGTCCAGAAGTGAACGAACAACCCGAAATGTTCACCGGAGCTAGCTTACAGACAGTGAACGCAAAGTAGAATAACCTGTACATAATTACATCGGCAGTCGCCGTGGCGTAGCAGCTAGACGCTCGCGTGCGGATCGAAAGGTCGTGAGTTCGCTCCCTAGCGGAGCCGGACTATTCTCGAAAGTGACCTAGAATCTCAGATCTACCCACCCTTGAGTGGGTACCGGGTGCAGTCCCGGAAAGTAAAGGCGACCACATCACCAATACTGTTCCGACTGGCCTATAAAAATATAAGTCTAGCCCTATATGCCCTAAAGGCGTGGAAAAGGGACATTTAGTTAACTTTACATAATTACATCGAAATGTTCCAATTGTGTCCCCAGACTTTGTTTCAGCAACGCATAAACAGATTATAATCTTCGCTAGGTTTATTATAAATTTACAAGCAAAAACAGGATCCCCGGCGGTGCTACGATGCCCGTGCACTGCGTGAAGGTACTTCAGACTCACACTTGAGTTAGAGGTAGAACGAAGCACTTATGGGTTACTTCCCGTGTGCCGTGATGTTGATTCAAACTATCGAAAACCTTCCTTGGGGTGACGCAATTCGGTACTATCATTTTAGACGACCTCAAACAAAGTAAGACCCACTATTCTAGGAGTGTTATTGTCTGGGTGCGCACGCACTTCTTTCCACACTTTCTGTGAGCACCGAACAAAGTCGTGTCATAAAACTCCTAGAATAATGGACCGGACTGGGGAATTCCAAATGTCCATTTGTTTGGGGTCGTCTAAAATTATAGTACGCGAAATTCAAAATAAGAGGGTTCCCCCTCCCCCAACCCTTTCACAAATGCCACATGAGTCTCAAGGTAATTATCTGATCAAAGCGGCTTCTTTCAAGTCGAATCCTACTTGTTACTCTCACAGGATTTTACCCCCTACCTCTTTAATTTTATTACGAATATTTTACAAAAATCTTGGACAATATTGACAAAAGAGTTACTCCTCTCCAACTGTTACAGTCTCTAAGATTACATTTCTTCGGAATTGTAACAACTTTCTTCCACTGATCTGGGATTTTTAATGCGTTTAATATGCAATTAAAAATAAACAGAGTTTCGAGCCTGTTTCTTGAATGCACCTTCTGGAAAATTCTTCTTCACGGGACTTGTCAGCTTGTAGAATGTTCGAAACTCAGACCCTAAGCTTTCGTCCACCAGGTGGTGCATCAGTTCACGCTGGGCGATGGCTGGGGAACTTGCACGACTCTCTCTTCTGGCACTGATGGCCGATTCTAGACTTAGCTGAGTGGAGAACGTCGGGTGATGATGGTGATGATGATGATGTTCTGCTTCAGGGTAACCGTCGTTGGGAATAAATAAAGAAAATCATAACAGATAATTGCATTGATATGATGAGTAGAAGGTGAAGGTTACAACCATCATGCTGTGCGTGCAATTCAAGTATCTATACACGCTTGAGTCCATGCAAGAAAAGTATGCCACAGGGTATCTCATAAGTGTCCATACAGAGGAAAAAAATAAAAATACGGACGCCGTCATTAGAAGCATATCTCCAGCTGTACTTACACATATTCAGCAGGTGAGAACAGACATCGAGGTGTGATTTAAAAACAATAGTAGTCACATAGAGCATCATATATACATGAAAAATGGTTTCATTAAACAACGTTCTGTTTTTCGCCTCCCTTCTAGATACACACATTTTTTTGGGACACTCTATGGGAAAGATTTTGACTGTAAAGAAGAATTCACGCAATGCAATTTTGGGACGGCACATTCGCTAAACAGGTTAGTGATAAAGCAAAGATAAAGAACAGACGGGACAGAAAAAAAAGAAAAAAAAAAACATAAGAGATGTTATGTCACAATGTACACACATTAAAAAAATCTGCATTCCATACTTTAGATAATTAGCACAAGATGCGAACAACTGAGATAGAGGACGCACTGGCTGAGTAAAAATTAGGAATTTCTGGTTAGTTAAAAGATTGCACTCAAACGTTGGATATAAATAATGAGTTTCAAGCATGAACATTGATTTATGTATTTATACAAAACTGAAGCATCCAAAGATACAGATAGATAGACAGAATAGATGAACCACCAGGCGGATGCAAACATGGACGGACGGACAGGCAGGGAGGAAGGGAGGGAGAAAAGCAGACAGACAGACAGACAAACAGAAAGACAGACAAACAGAAAGACAGACAAACAGAAAGACAGACAGACAGGTAGATAGACAGACAGGTAGATAGACAGACAGGTAGATAGATAGATAGGTAGATAGATTAGACAGACAGACAGACAGACAGACAGACAGACAGACAGACAGACAGACAGACAGACAGACAGACAGACAGACAGACAGACAGACAGACAGACAGACAGACAGACAGACAGACAGACAGACAGACAGACAGACAGACAGACAGACAGACAGACAGACAGACAGACAGACAGACAGACAGACAGACAGACAGACAGACAGACAGACAGACAGACAGACAGACAGACAGACAGACAGACAGACAGACAGACAGACAGACAGATAGATAGATAGATAGATAGATAGATAGATAGATAGATAGATAGATAGATAGATAGATAGATAGATAGATAGATAGATAGATAGATAGATAGATAGATAGATAGATAGATAGATAGATAGATAGATAGATAGATAGATAGATAGATAGATAGATAGATAGATAGATAGATAGATAGATAGATAGATAGATAGATAGATAGATAGATAGGTTTGTCTATTTTCTGTTCGTTTATGCACCAACCCAACCTATCTACCTGCCTCCCTTCCTTTTGCCTGCCTGTCTGCTATCTTTCTAATTCCTGTCGCCTTCTTCTTCTCCTGCTTCTTCTGTTTCTGTTGTTTCTTTTTCTGAAGACGACGAACCGAACACTGACATTTAGACGGGCTGAGATTTAAATAACATAGCATTTCTCTAAATTAAACCATCAAAGCTTCCGTAATTTGCCTTTGCTTTCGGAACTGGGAAAACACTTGTGTTTGTATGTGTGTGTGTGAGGGGGGGGGGGGGGGGGCGAAAAGCGGTCTGGTACAAAATCGTGTGCAGCTGACATGTGGGGATTACGAAACTGCGTTCAAGAACCTAAACTAGGGATTACGACATAGCAAGACTTTACAAATTAGATGCGTACCCTTGAGCTGTTTCTATCCATCAAAGTCCGAGGGAATTCAGAACGGCAATACTAAACTCATGAACATATTACTCACAGAGGGGTTTAAATAGACAACACTTGTTTAAAACAAATATGTTATCAGAGTTGAGAATGGCGCTGCGAGGAGTTACCAGGGGATCCGACCGACGCTCAAGACTCAAGGGAAGGGCGAGACGGATATACAATCAGACAATTACTGGTGCCATCTGAATAGGAACTCTTGGTTTGCTGTTGAAGATGGGGACAAAGCGCTTACGGGAGTTTCCCGAGTGCTATGTTGTCGATTCTTAATTTAACATTCAACATTTTGTTGTCAGAGTTCTTTAAAGTCGCTCACTAAATATAAGATGTAACCACATATATAACATGTTGACTGGTGTACGTGAATTATACCCAGTCACACATTGTGCTTTCATTGGGACATTGTTCATTGTTCATTTGAATATAATCTTCATCGAACATCGGTCATAACAATAAGCGCTCCAATCTCCTTCTGAGTTATGTCTACCGAGCCTTTTTAGGATAACAACTCCCATTCTATTCTGGTTAATGTAACGAGGGGTGGCTCCCGGATGGTTTTCCGGTCTCGCGGCTCCAATTGGTACACCCAGGGTATGTAGTCTATTCAGTGAAAAATCATTTTCCACGAGACTGAGAGCCTCACAGCGTTTAGTCTCTGGTATGGCATTGACGGTGTCTCTCCTGTCCATAGAGGATCCATTCCTGATGGTCGCACTGCTATGGGACAGAACACGTTAAGGGACGTTGTAGAACTAACCACAGCATCTGCTAGCAGTTTATGGTTTTACAAGACAATCTGGCATTCAGTAGTAGTTTGAATTTCTCTTATGTTATCAGTCCATTTATTCTTGTTCTACCTCGTTCGTTACATCTTTCTCCTCTGTTGGTGTATGGTATGGCGTCCAGGATACTACTCCTAAGTAAGCAAATCACTTGATTCACTGTTTTTGTATCGAATTTAAAATCGGACGCCCGCCTTCTAATTTCCATGGTTACCCTTTCTTTTCCTGGTTTCTTGTGAGAGAACATGTCTGGCACTGGTAGCAAAGAAAAGGAATGAATATGATTTACATGAGACGTTTCTTTACGCTGACCAGGATTGTCTTGTGCTGTTAAAAAATGGTGTGGGTGGGGACCCTAGCTGTCCCAGTACTTCGTGTACTTTACTATTTCAGATGTGAATTTCTTTATCCAGTTAATTACAATGTTCATTATATACTCGAGAGAATAAAATCACAAAGACGCCGCAAGCAGTGTTCTCGTTTCTACGGTAATAAATCTTGGCCACAAGTGTGTTTTTATGAAACATTGAACATACTAAGAAAAGAGTAGTGGTTCACGGGTTTTTATATCACAAAACATGCAATGGTTGATCGATTGTTATGTCAGAAAACATGCAACGGTTTATCTGTTGTTAAGTTATCCCAGTCTGATAAGAGATAGCATGCAGTAATCATAAGGTTATTGTGCACAGTTACATAAAGCAATATACAAGCACAATTATCAATTAAAAATATTTATGTAGCTACGAAACATTTACGCCAAATCAACAGTGACTCTTTTTCTTACATTATTTAACTATTGCTGCTACTTATGTTTCACATTCTTCGTGTTTTTTCCCTCCATCCTCTTACATTTTCCATTCTCCCCAACTTTCTCCTCCTTCTCCCCCTCCTCCTTCTCCTCCTTCTCCTCCTCCTTTTCCTCCTCCTTCTCCTCCTCCTTCTCCTCCTCCTTCTCCTCCTCCTTCTCCTCCTCCTCCTCCGCCTCCTTCTCCGCCTCCTTCTCCTCCTCCTCCTCCTCCTCCTCCTTCTCCTCCTCCTTCTCCTCCTCCTTCTTCTCCTTCTCCTTCTCCCCCTCCTTCTCCCCCTCCTCCTTCTCCTCCTCCTCCTTCTCCTCCTCCTCCTCCTTCTCCTCCTCCTTCTCCTCCTCCTCCTCCGCCTCGTTCTCCTCCTTCTCCTCCTCCTCCTCCTTCTCCTTCTCCTCCTCCTTCTCCTTCTCCTCCTCCTTCTCCTCCTCCTTCTCCTCCTCCTTCTCCTCCTCCTTCTCCGCCTCCGCCTCCTCCTCCTTCTCCGCCTCCTTCTTCGCCTCCTTCTTCGCCTCCTTCTCCGCCTCCTTCTCCGCCTCCTTCTCCGCCTCCTTCTCCGCCTCCTCCTTCGCCTCCTCCTTCGACTCCTCCTCCTCCTCCTCCTCCTCCTTCTCCTCCTCCTTCTCCTCCTCCTTCTCCGCCTCCTTCTCCGCCTCCTTCTCCGCCTCCTCCTCCGCCTCCTTCTCCGCCTCCTCCTCCGCCTCCTCCTCCGCCTTCTCCTCCGCCTTCTCCTCCTCCTTCTCCTCCTCCTTCTCCTCCTCCTCCTCCTTCTCCGCCTCCTTTTCCGCCTCCTTCTCCTTCTCCTCCTCCTTCTCCTCCTCCTTCTCCTCCTCCTTCTCCTCCTTCTCCTCCTCCTTCTCCCCCTCCTTCTCCCCCTCCTTCTCCCCCTCCTTCTCCCCCTCCTTCTCCCCCTCCTTCTCCCCCTCCTTCTCCCCCTCCTTCTCCCCCTCCTTCTCCCCCTCCTTCTCCTTCTTCTCCCCCTCCTTCTCCCCTCCTTCTCCCCTCCTTCTCCTCCTCCTTCTCCTCCTCCTTCTCCTCCTCCTTCTCCTCCTCCTTCTCCTTCTCCTCCTCCTTTTTTCCTCCTCCTCCTCCTTCTCCTCCTCCTTCTCCTCCTCCTTCTCCTCCTCCTTCTCCTTCTCCTCCTCCTTCTCCTCCTCCTTCTCCTCCTTCTCCTCCTTCTTCTCCTTCTTCTCCTTCTTCTCCCTCTTCTCCTTCTTCTTCTTCCTTCTTCTTCTTCTTCTTCTTCTTCTTCTTCTTCTTCTTCTTCTTCTTCTTCTTCTTCTTCTTCTTCTTCTTCTTCTTTTTCTTCTTCTTTTTCTTCTCTTCTTCTTCTTCTTCTTCGTTTTCTTTTTCTTCTTCTTCCGCTTCTTCTTCTCTTCTTACTCATCTCCTCCTCCTCCTCATCATCATCCACCTCCTTCTCAGTATTCTGTCGTATTTCATGGGAAATAAACAAATTCAAAGGATCTGAAGGCATGGCATTAAAAGAGAGTAAAAAACCATTTTAAATACCTATACGGCTAATAGTAAAGCACCCTTTTCCACGCGTATATTGGGCATATAGGGTTAGACCTATATGCTATAGACCAATTGGCATTCGGTGGGTGATGTGGTTAGCATCAATCTAGTTGCCTTTACTTTCCAGGACTGCACTTGGTACCCTGTTAAGGTAGGGTCGACCTAAGAGCCAAAGTCATATTTGTAAAAAGGTCAGGACCCGAACCCACCACCTTCCGATCCGCAGGCTAGCATCCAGCCGCTACACCACAGAGGCCCCCATAAGGCACATAGTGATAGATCTATAGTTTATAGACCTAATATTAGGTAGGTGATGTGACATTGGCACCTTTACCTCCCAGGCTTTTCCAGATATCCGTTTAAGGCTGGGTCGACTTGAAAGCTTAGATCATTTTTGAAACAAATGTCAGTTCCTTTCAGATTTGAACCCAGGACCTTCTGATCCGCAGGCAAGCATCTAGCCGCTACACCACAGTTGCGTACATAAAAAAAGAAATGTGTTTAAGGACATAAAAACTAGCGAAAGCGTCTTGAAAGTCTGAACACATAGGCAGAAATTCATATTTTTCGTAAGTGAAATTTTTTAAGCAACATTTTGTTGATTTAGAACATTAAATAACGTCTTCAATCTGATTTCCATCATTTACGATGCAAAGACAGGCACAAAGAAAAGAAGAAAAGGTGAAACAATTATATTTAATGGGATTTCCCTATGGGGCAAAGGAAATTTTTTTTGTGTGTGTGGTCACAATGGGATTTCCAGTGTGTCCAGACTTTTATATACAAAATTGTGTGCCGTCTTCACAGTGAAGGATGGCTGTAGGGCATACACTGCAGTCTGTGAGATTATTACGTGTTGATGCCCAAGTCTCTTTTTAAGTGATATTATGGTAGCACTGTCTGTAAACCCCATTTTTTTTAAACTGAGCCCCGGCATGTTGGCGAAATTTCAAATTGTTACACGCATTCACTAACCTTTAAGACTTAGAAAGCGGCACATAACAACCTTCTAAATTCTTACGGGATGGAAACGTTGTAGATAGGCGAGCAAGAGGAAGACAGCGAAACAGATAGGATAAGGCATCAATAAATAGTTAAACAGCAGTTGCCTTATGTGATTTCCGGGTTCCAGTTGTGACGGGGAGGGGGGGGGGGGTGAGGGGACAGACCTACTGCCGCTTAACAAGCATGTCGTCAAAGGCGACTAACTTGGGAATCAAGTGGGATGTGTTGGGTTTAAAGTCACAAATATCGCAGCCTTGCTGTAAACCACAGCCCAAAGTTCCAACAGCGTGTTTAAGGACGAACGCAGATAAGGAAACACAGACGGGTTCGAACTGCAGTTTTAAAGAGTGCACATCCAAGGCGAAAGACAGAGCATTCCGGAGATCTGTGGCCGCCACCTTTTTTTGCGGAGACGCCACCTGATGAACAAAAATAGACAACTTCTTATCCTGTTCTTCTTCACTTCCTCTTTTACCACTTCAGGTCTCGAGGAAGATATAAGGTCCTGCCAAGACCGGCTCCATCTGACGGGCCATGCTGCTGACGTCACCAAACCGGGCCAACGATACGTTTACGCAGCGATTCTCAAACAAGGTGCCGTGGCAGGGTATGTCAGGGCTGCCGCGACAACGATCAAGAATTGTTCTTAATCTGCCTGACATTAAATTTACTGGAGCCGGTCTTGCTTTTGCATCTTGCTTTTTTTTTTTTTTTTTTTTGACAGCCTCAACCACATACACATCGTGCTGTTGTATAGTTTCCCTGATGTTATCTTTCCATATGGTTCTTGGTCTATCTCGTGCTCTACATCCTTCTCCTCTTCTGGTGTATGCATAGTTTGGTATGGCGTGGCAAGACATTCATTCTCTCTGAGTGGGCAAACCTTATGATTTGCTATCTTTGTATTCTTCTTCTTTCTTTTTCTGCCTTTATAGCCCCCAATGGAGCATAGGTCCCCAACCAACTCACGCCAAGTCTTTCTATTCTTTGCTATCGCATGCAGCTCTCTCCATATCCTCCCAATCTTTCTGACTTCATTCTCCAGCTCCCTTCTCCATGTGTTTTTGGCCTTTCTTTATTCCTATGCCCCTGTGGCTTCCAATGCAAAGATATTTTAGTTATATTGTTCTCCAGTTTTCTCAATGAGTGTGTCCTATTCAACGCCAGTGTATTTTCTTCACCTCTTGGTCCACTGGAGCTTGCTTAGTTCTCACCCAAAGCTCTTTATTAGTGATTGTATCATACCATTTTAATTCCCTCTATTCTGCGAAGGCACCAGTTAATAAATATCTGTAGGTTATTAGTTATTGCCTTTGTTGTTCTACACGCTTCCGCCCCATACAAAAGTACAGTACTGATATTATAATTAAAAATTTTAAGTTTAGTATTTCTTTGTATTTCCGTGCAGACGTTTTCTCTTATGGCTTCATTTCTGAGTTTTATCTTTTCTGGTCACCCCTGCAACTCTTCTCATAAATCATATTTGCGTATTTATTAATTTTTCTTTTATAATTTGTTGTGAATGACCATGTTTGGCACTGGTGCACAGAATGGGAATAAATACGCTTTTTACTAGATGTTTTCTTTGTGCTGATCAGGACTGTCTTATGCTGTAAGAGGGAAGTTAGCTGTCGCAATACTTTATTTGCCTTATTGAATCTGATGTTAATTAAACAGACAACAAAGATGAGATATTTAGGACACAGAAACGTACAGACAAATAGAACAGTTACCTGAGGATGAGGGGCTTGAAGTCTTGGACGTGCTGTCGCTACAGTCACCTTTACTTGACAGAAAACTTGAGCATGTGCCTTCTTTCTGTATTTTGGGAACCTTCGGCAAATCTGCGGCGCATTTCAGTAGACTGTAGACAGGGTCGATGTCTTTATCTATGGAAGACGGGTAAAGCATGGTTTATATTTCCGGTAAATGTAGTAGAAAAAAAATGTAACATAGAATCACTAAGGATATCGTTAATAATGCTAGGTCCCTGAATGGTTCCGGGGCCCTGTTATAGGAAAAACAAGAAAAGACCCACTGCCTACATAAAAGCATGTCGTAAGAGTCGACTAATAATTTCAAAGTTGGAGTGCATCTGCCTGAGAGGCGAGGAACCAGCAGTCTGCATACAAATAAGTCAGATCTGTAGAATGGATACACACGCAACACCCAGGTTCTGGAACAGGACTGCAGTCCAGGAGTGGACGAACAACCAGAACTTTCCGCCAGAATTTACAGCTGGTGAACGCGAAGAAGAAGAAGAAGAATGCTAGTAATTGTAATACATTTGGTACAACAACAACAAATACTGCATCCACCATAGCTATTTATATCACTAATACAACTACCACAACAACAACATTAACAACAACAACAACAACAACAAAACAACAACAACAACAACAACAACTACTACTACTACTACTACTACTACTACTACTACTATTACTACTACTACTACTACCACCACCACCAATACTACTGCTACTACTACTACTACTACTACTACTACTACTACTACTACTACTACTACTACTACTACTACTACTACTACTACTACTACTACTACTACTAGTACTACCGTGAATA